CTTCCTTGGGAACTCGAAAGCAAAGCCTTCCTGATGTGCTGCAGTTAATAATTTAGTGTTAGAGGGAGACAAGTATTTATGATAATTAAACCTGAGCTGCACATCCCTTTTTTTGTTTGACTCTATCAAAAACCTCAAGAATGGGATTAAAAGCCAAATTTAGCTTTTGTGAACACTTAAAGCAGGGATGAATCGCAGAACAATATGACTGCAGGTCATTCACATACTTTTATCTAAGAGTTGAGTTAGAGCAAACATCAAGTCGATATTTTTCACCAGCCTCATCATGTGCTGTTTGGCTAAATTAGCTGCTAAAGATATTGACTATTCACTACATATGTTCGCTTTTCCAAATACCACTATTTGTTTTTTTGCTAAAGAATGTTCCCTGAAAGAGTTCATTTTATGAAGCTAAGATAAAATGCTGTACAGCATTTTACATTAAGTGAATGCTGTGTCTTTTTGCCTGTAACTTTGTTGTAGGTTTATCACGTGTCATTAAAATAGTTCATTGATCTCTATGCGGGGAAGTGTCAGTATGGATGCTGCAGTTATGGTGTGGGTTGAATGCTTAATTTGCACTGTACAAGCTAAACAAAGCCTGGGTTAGTAGAGAGCACTAATTGGACTGCATAAAAGATGCCAATTAGATTAGAGACGGGGTTTCTATGGCAAAGTAAGCATTGTTTACAGCAGTGGATCTCAGCTCTCTGTCTTCCAGAGCGCAGAGTGTTAATTCTGATGCAGCGACAGCTTCTGCTGTTCACTGTTCACTGATTTGTTCCACGTTTTTGCCCCGAGATAGTGTGGGAAATATCAACATAGCCTCGTTTTATAGAGGGGTTTCAGCCAAGTCATGAACAAAACACACAGCGTTATCTTCACTACTTTACACAATGAATATTATCTGGGAAATGCAGATGGTTGAGCCTTTTTTACTTTATGGTTTAGTTCCAATATAACAGCCAGAAGTTTAATGCATTAAAAATTGCACAATAAGATATTTTACTAAAACAACGAAACTGTCAATAATCAATACATAGTACTTTAATACATCCATTTGGATGGCTTTGTTTCAGGTCCCCCTAATCATGTATCATGTATGAAGACAGAACAAAAGTGGCTAAACCAGCCACCAAATCTGTTACCGTTTGGTTCAAGTTGAAGATATGCATCTTAACAACTGGAGCCAAACATATTCACTATTGTTTGTATTTAAAAAGATCAGAACTAAGTTTAACTTTTTTGAATGATGTCTGTCTGAGAAGGCTCCTCCAGACCTTTTGTTTCATTACTTGGTCATTTTTTAAAGAATGAATCCATTGTGATTAGCCTACCTCTTTGGCTGCTACACCTGGGTTTTATTTCTCTCCATTTGGTGCTTTGAATGTCAAGATGTTTGTTCATATCCTGTAAAACTGTTTGTGCCAAAGTAAAGACCGGGTCAGTTTAACCTGACATTAACTTTGGTTGCTCTCATGCTGGACCACAGTTAAATTAAACTATTTTTATCTATATTTTGGCAAGCTTTGGACACACTCACAACCACACGCACACACACACTCATTGTTTAATAGTCTGAAGGTTCTGTGTGTGTTTTTTATTGTCAGATTGTTACTGTTATGTTTGTGAAATAAAATGTTCCCCCAGAGGCTGTACCAAACTCCAGAACTCTCTCCAGCATTATTTTACTTCCTGGTAGAGGAACTGGGTTTTTTATCTGCCATTTTAATACATTTTGGTTGAAAACTAAGAGTCTCTGCGACTGTGAAGGACACTTGATCCAGACTGGTTATATCGTAAACGTGTTGCAGTGGAGAAACTCAACTCCGTGCAAGTCCAGTTTGAGGAACCCTTTAAAAGCCTCCAGTATCAGCGGTGATATTTTAAAGATCCTCGCTCTCACTCGACATCCAGATCTATAAAACATCGATGCTCTTTGTTGTATTTTTTAAGCTCGGCTGTCAAATCTGACCTTGAAAAGCTTCGGCTGTTGAGTTGTAGAAGTGACAGCTGCATCCCTGCTCTACCGCACATCATCAAACATCACTTCACCACTCCAATGCAGACGTCACTATTACCATATAGATGGACTCTGACTCCTGACCTTGATGTGATCTTGTCTCCTCCAGGTTTCCATGAATTGTGACTATGTCTTCGTGAACGGGAAGGAGACGCGGGGCTCCATGAATGCCAGAGTCATCTTCAGCTACGAGCACCTAAGCACACCACTGGAGCTGACGGTGTGGGTGCCTAAACTACCCCTGCAGGTGGAGCTGTCCGACTACAACCTTAGCTTCATCAAAGGCTGGAGGGTTCCAATTCTGCCCGACAGAAGGTGAGAAAACACTGTTACGTTGGCATCCTTTTTCACTTTGCAACAAAGCGATCCTTTCTTTCTCATGTCTGCTAGTTCAGTTGTTGTCCCTCACTCATCTCCTCTGAAATACTCTGAGACCCCATGGGGCGGAGGGGGCACCGCACAATTTAAAAAACCCTTGGTCTAAACATAACAGAACAGCTTTAGGGCAAATACAGAATTAATATCAACCCAGGAATAGGTATCTAACGACATAGATAATTCCAACCTATGTATTTATTTAAATATGTAAAATATACATTATATGATGTTAGATTAGATTAGAAGTGCAGTTGCAGGGACAAAAAAGACTGGTTTTCCAGGAAATTGTCTGTGTGTGTGTGTGTTTCAACTTTAATTAAATGCCATGACAGCAGGCAGCACAAATTTATCCTGTGAAAATGAAAATGAGTCTGCCAAGTGTAAATCGATGCACCGAGCTGTCATGTTTGAGTCGCACTTATCTGAACACATTTTTAACAACAAGGCTCTGAAGCTGACTCCATTTTACTTTGTGCTGGTTATCAGCTGAACACCTCCCGAACACAAATGATATTTTAGTGTGCAAAAATGTAATTGTCCTTTCACATTTTACAAGATTTTGCTGACTGGACCAGAAACAATATGTGGCTCCACTTCTGTAGTAAGTCATTTGAAAAGTGGGAACAAGGGAACTAAACTTTCTTTATATTGCTCGCCTTTAAAATGTACAAATTAGGAATAAGGTAGAGTAACAGCAACTATGAGTGTTTCTGTTTGAGAAACTAGCACCAAGGACAGCGCTTGGAAATATAAGCAGGAACAAGTGAACGCACCAGTTACTCTATGCATGGTAGTGACAGAAACTAGCACCATGGACAGCACCAGCAACTCTGTACTCTTCTAACACAGACTCTGGCCTTGTACTCGTGACAGTGTCAGGGATAGTGTAGTACTATTCAAAGTAAGAAACATGAATAACAACAGGTCAAAGGTCAAGGTCAAAACATTTCTGTATTCATCAGTGACTTCCTTCTTTGTAAATCCTGGGGGTGTTTTATCACAAGGTCACATTCTGCTTCTTTCCCTTGTCTAAGAATTGGAGTTAGACCAAAGCCTGTGGCAAAGCTTTGATACATTTTTACCAGGTTTTTATTCAAGTCTCTTGTAAAATTTAGTGTTTACTGTTGGGGATTAGGCAAAGGTATAAATGACAAAACTTGTTGAGGCTTAACAGGCTAGAATTATTAAAGTCAGCTAATTCATTAGCCACTGACACTGCACTACAACTGATAATTAAATTACACTCTGAAACATCACACAAGAAGCTGCAGCTAAGTTTACAAAACTCACCAAAGTTCCTCCAGATACCATAGGAGGAGCCAATGCCCCTCCAATGGTCGGCACTGCAGTTTGAGAGCCACAGTTTTTAGTGATATTCCCTTGTCCATAGTATAAAGGAAATTCAGCTGGCAGTGAAACTCAGTTTAAAAGCACTCATATTGATTGAAGTTGTTTGTGTTGGACCGCAATGAAAAATGTGGTCTCTGAAAAAAAAACCCTGCTAACATTAAAAAAAAAAACACTGCAGCGTCCTTGTCTGCATGGAGCAGTGAGAAACAAACAGGCTTGCTCCTCCCAGATCCTTCATTTAGGAAATGTCTAATGGGAGCATTAAGAAGAAAGCGAGCGGCTGCTGTCGTCGCTGCAGGAGAACATCATCATACACCACCATCCATTTCTAGCAAACCTGAATGCTAATGTGGTTCCATTGACAAATGGTGGTATTTTACATGAAGCACACTGTTTGGGGAAACAGCCCAAGTTTCAATCATGCATGATGGTGGGAATGAGTTGTGGAGGTGTATATATATTTTTCCTGCAGTCTGGTCTTCAGAGACGTTCTTGGTTATTTTTCTGCCTGATCTATGTATAGTTCTGTATGAGGAAGAAATGTCACATCCAGTGCTGGAAAACAAGTCTCTGTGTTGATTGTCCTTTCAATGCCAGTGTAATTTTGTAAAATTATGGAACTTCCAGAGTCAGGAATGTCTAGCCACTTTAGCTTCTATATAATAATGTCTACACGCTCCCAATTATTTAACAATAACAATATTGAAGAAAAAAGACCATAGAAACAACAGCTGTTTGTTTCTGTTTTGGATTAGATTGTTTTTAGTGTTTTTCTTTGTATTTAACAATAACAAAATTTGTTTATATTTCTTGCTGACTACACCTTTCAAAATTTGTTTATATTTCTTGCTGACTTAAACCTTTTATACTATATATTATAATACTTTATAATTTCACTAGGCAAAAATATACGCATGTATCTAAGTTTGAAAATATTTAAGTAATATAATATTTCATATCAGTGGGACTCTGACACTATGTTCACAAAAGTAATATAATATTTCATATCAGTGGGAATCTGACACTATACTGTATTTTTAACTAAAAGCAATTGGCATTTTAATGTGTGGCATTTTTAAGTGTCATCATCATTTAGCAGCATGTAGATAAAGCTGCCAACCTCGGTTTGAAATGACAGTTTAATCTTCATTAGTGGCAAACAATGAAAACAAAAGCCAAAAAAGCAGATCCTACTCTGTGTAAATGTTTGTGTTTAATTTAGTCAAATCATTGTCTGTTTGTAAAAGCAAGATTTTTTTGTTTCATTGACTGAAGAAATGTAGATGATTCCTTCCAGGACTCCTCGACCATATTGACTTAAAACATTCAGTTTGACAGTTTATTCCCGACCTTGACATTTGACACATAGGCACATCTGGGACATTCACAGTTTCTGGGTTTTGTCAGAAACAAGCATTTTATGTGTAATGGCAGCCGGTAGTTTAACATGCCGACTGTGCCAGCACGTATCCCTCTGGGGGCGAACGTGGAATGTCAACCGTCTTTCGCTTTTCACAACTTTTTATAGACTTATCTGAACACAGAAACTAAGATTTTCTACCTGAAACAACTGTGTTTAACACAGTTTCCCAACCGATGTACCGCAGCACACTAATGTGCCATGATAGATCATCAGGTGTGCTGTGGATAATTAGCCAGTTTTACTTATCTTGTCTGAAAACAAATATTTATTTATTGCTTATAATTTGTCTGCATTTGTTTATGCAACGGTAGGTAGCAGAACCATTAAATACTCACTAGATGGCAACAGAATAGCTGGAAAAACTAAAACAAAAGTGCGAGAAAAAGCTGTTAAAGAAAACCATGTGGGTCTTTCTTCAATTGCTCTGTGTATATTGGTGTTGTGTTCAAATAAATAGGCTCTCCTAATTCTTTTCATGTAAAAAAAAAAAAAAGCTACGTAAATTTCAGGGGTCTCTAACCGCTGGCCGTGGGACCAGTGCTAGGCCGTGGATCATTTGTCACCGATATTATTTTCTATTTTTTTTTATTTCACATTATTTTGCTATAGTTGAATTCATTGTAAATGCAGAATAAAAAATAATTACTATTTTGGCAATAATTGAATTATATATGATACACAAATTTGTATTTTCTAAAGGTTAACCCCCCCCCCATATACTACAAATCTGCAGTTGTATATTCTACACTAACTGCAGTACACAACAACATCCTTTAAAAAAATACTATTTTGAAAATAGTGTAATCAGGCAGAGAATGCGTGTGCATTGATGCTTCAGCTGGTTCTACATGAGACTCTAATACGAGCTGACAGAATTCTCCTGAGTGAGAAAATATTTTTCGGCGCACAGCCCTGAATGGTTAACTTTCACCAACAGCAGATAAGAGTTTATAAAACTCTTTAAAAGACAAAAAGAGATAATGTCTCCTGGAGTTTTTCTCACAAAATGTGTAACTAAGTGTCCCTGTCCATTGGTTGTGAAGTTTTTTTGTTTTTTGTTTTACCTTCTGCATACAAAAGCAGCTTCTTCTTACCACTCCCTAACACAGAGTGAATGGTTCTGTTGTGGAAGTATAATTGGTTGTTCTAGTGAAAAGGTTCTTCTTTCTTCCGGCAGGATATTGAGATCTGTGCCCAGAAAAACATTTTTCATAATCACCTGACAAATGGCATTTGATTAAATCATGCAGGAAAGAGCGAATTGTTTGCACTACCTTTACAGACGTCAACTGGAATGATCATTTTTACGCCCACATATACTTCCATGCCTTCCTCATGTTTAACATGGTTGTTAAGTAAAGCATTCACTAGCGATCAGAGTGTAGAGTTAATTCAATTCAATTCAATTTAATTCAAAATACAAACATAACAGAAAAAATGCATATTTGTCACAACAAAGCTAACTTTGCTCTGATGACGAAGTTCAGTGTAAACATGTCTTTTTATCGACTCAGTTCTCCTCCTGTGGGATAAATCAGCATCACTTCTACCTGACTTTTTTTTTTAAACTACAGCTTATTTCCCTTGACTTTTAATGGTCGGAATTCTGTTGCTGCTTCTCATCCCCCGCTCTCTGGGATTTAAATAAGTCATCAGCCCCTCCCTCCCTCCCCCCACTGTTACTGTATAAAACTTCTTTAATGAGTCCTGAAAACGCCCATCCATCAAAAGCAGAGCAGGGAGCTGACTGCTGCCTCGGTGCTGAACACAACAGACGGGATGTCAGTCCTCATGTTCACATACATTTTCACAAACCTGTCTCTTTGGCTGCGTGGGCACAAATCAGAGAGCCCAGAAAAGCTTGGGCAGATTTAGAACATGTAGAAACACAGAAATAGTTTTTTTTAAAAATGTACCAAATGGAGTCTTTACCTGAATTTTATTTTCCTAAAAGAAGAAATTAGCAGAGAAAAATCCACTAGTTGTTGGAACTAGTGCTTTTTCCTAGGGTATAATTACAATAAGAGCTTTGAAACCAGTGCCAAAATAATCCAGGTTATTTTGCCGGCCCCTCTGTTTGAAGCAAGGAGTCTTGTCAAGCCCCCCACTCACCTACATTAACAGCTTTAATTTGAGAACTCCACTCCACACTTTTTTTCTAACAGCTTTAATTTGAGAACTCCACTCTTTTTTAAACACTGTAATTACTACAGACATGTTCTTCTTAAGGAACAAAAGAAATGAAATAACAATTCAGTGTAACTTACCCAGACTGGGACAAATAAAGAAATTATTGTAACGGAAAATTACTCTTTCCACAACAATGGAAATAAAAGTTCTCTGAGAGAAAAACCAAAACTTCGAACCTGAACCACTCAGGCCCTCAGCACTTTTTTTCCAGTTGCTGATTTGGAACTTTGCTTTGTCCCTAAGATCGTTTTAAATTAACGTTACAGATGAGAGACTTTGAGGTCATTTTCAAAGTCCAGTATTGATCTATACTTTGTCTTGACCTCTCACCTCCTGCCGCAGCTGCTAACTGTGGCAACCACTGGCTCGAGTTGTTTTCAAACATTGAAAAATCACAGAAGAGCTGGAGATTTTTAGAGAAACAGAAATGACCTTCGATGTTTAGAAATTACACCTGGGTAACGCACAAAACGTTTTTGTGATTTGACCCTGTACACAAACCAAAGTATTTTCTGTACAACACTCACATGTTTGTGCAGACATACAGTGTTCACGACAGAAGCCTTGTTGACCATATATTTTCTGACCTTGTTTAAGTGAATTTATTTCACTTGTTGACATTATTTTAATGCATTTTTTAATGTGTTAATTTGAGACCCCTTTAAGAGGTATGAATTACAGCCCACCTATATGGTTAACACAGACATATATGTTTCTGTAGAAAATATATATATGTAGGTGGTCTTTAATGGTTATATTACATTGGTAACCAGGTAGGATGGCACACTTAATGGAGATTCTTGAATGTGAAACCCATTGAATGTTTAAAAAAAGAAGTCAGGTCCTTGAAGGGCTCTGCCTGAAAATTAGACGCGTTCTTTGACTCACTGTGTACTTTGTCATCTTCTCCCACTCTCACTGACTCATAGGTTGCTGGCAGTGTTACATTAAAGCAGAGATTAGGTACTGAAGTTGTCTTCTTTTTTTTCTTTTTTTTACTGGAGACACTGGCAGGTTGTCAAACCTGCTGCTGGAGTCACATTCCTCCTGCATCTGTGCTGCAGAGCAGATTGAGCTCAGTGGGATGTTCAGACCTGCCATGTTTAACCCTGCTGCCCAGGGTTAGTGTGGAATAAGACGGAGGACAAGCGTCCAAACTCCAGCGTCTTATCTCCTCCCTGGGTCATTTTCACCAACGCTGCTACATCAGAAGATATAATGTGATGGATTGGTGTGGGGATGAGCCAGGTTTCTCATCAGTGTTATCCTGGTGAAATATGAAATGGGTCGAGACCCTGGGAAAAAAGATGCAAATTGCGTCATAAATTATGAAGAAAAGAAAAAAAAACAAGAAGATTGAAGTAGATTTAGCAGCAGCTTCACGTGAGAGTTTCCGTCTGCAGCATGAAGGATTATTGGCAAAAATGTGAAGTACTTTCCATGAGCGGGTTTTTATAGGTGTCTAATTGCTTTGGTTTTTAAACACAAGTCACCAGTAAACTGTCACACTTCTCCTGACTTAAATTTTTACATTTTCTTTACAATGTCTCTGTTGCTGAAGCGATAAATATTTTAAAGGCTTTTCAGTCAGTATGCAGGACACTTTAGTCAAATGTTAATACAGTTTCTCCCCAGTGTGAAACTATTTTCACGCAGTCTTTTTAACTACTCTTCACTCACATTAGCTGTTTTTCTAGGGATGCTGCTAACTTTACCGCCTTACCCCCCAGCTACAGTTATTTGGACAGCTTCTAGTTCTTCTGCTTTAAAGTTTTCCAACATAAAAAGATATGTATTTTAATGTGAAACATTTTAAATAACTAACATTTATGTGTATTTTTTGTCCTTCCTACAGGAGCACTAGGGACAGCGATGCAGACGAGGATGACGACGACCGGCGGGTGAGTCGAGGCTGCACCCTGCAGTACCAGAGAGCACTGGTCAAAGTTCTGACCCAGTTCCACACCACCTCCACTGAGGGAACCGACCAGGTTATCACCATGCTGGGGCCCGACTGGCAGGTGGACGTCACAGATCTGGTCCAGGATTCCCTGAAGGTGGCCGACCCTCGGATCGCAGAGCTGGTGGACAGGACCATCCTGGTGGGATTGGAGCTGGGGTCCACTGCGCTGAAGGTGAGCAGAAAAACTGAGGGTCCTGATACCTGATATCTCTGAGTGGGAGGCATGAATGGAGACAGGATGTAGTTTAAATTTGTCCACCATATGGTAAATGTAGACCGGCTCAAAAAGAGAACTCAAAACCTGACTTTACCACAGCAGCAGGGAACAGTCCCTGAAAATTAAGATTTTGATAGTAATTCTAATAGACTGATCTTAATCATTAGCTTTGAAAAAAAAAACTATACGTGTCTTTACATATCTACAAACTGTGCAGAGGGCATCAGTTAAAATTAAACAATAATTAAATAAAACAAAGCAAAAGCTGTTAAACCTTAAATCACTCAAAATTGTTTTAAAGATGAAAAAAACATTTGGCCAAGAAATAAATTAAGATAATTAAGTTGAGAAAACCTGATATATTGTGAATGTGACCAGGAAAATATCACACAAAAACCAAAAGCTTTCACTTGTAATGTCAGGGATATGCAAATATTTCAAATGGTGTGAAAATGGAAATATTGTACATGAAATGATTGATGCATTAATATATTGCACGTGTGAAATGTTTAATTGGCACATGAGCAAAACTGACCTAAAGGGTGATTACACAACAGAAGATCAAAGTAATGCACATGAGAAGATTTAAATATTGACCATGAGAAAATATTGCCCTCATACTGACCTTTGTATAAAAAGGTCCAAACTCTTGACATTAATCACATCAGAACAGAACAGCACTGATGTTGGCAGAAGTTGTGACTGCAGCTCAGTGATTTACTGGTCATTTTTAGCACAGTCACAGAGAGTGTTTTGATCAGAGTGAAACATCTCAGTTTTTGAGGGAGGGTAGCGCTTCCATCATCTGAAGGATGTGTTGGATGATGGAGAGAAACGGGGGAAAGACGCGAGCCGTCAATTCATCATTTTAAATGAGCGGCAAATCATTTATAATCTGCTGAGTTTGAATAATAATCTCACTGATTCAGCAGCAGATAAAAGTTGCCACATCGACGTTACAGGGGATTGTGCATAAATAAATAAATGAACAAGTCAATAACCTGCTTAGGAAATCGATCCCCTTCCCTTCGACTCTTAAAAGTCTTAAAGGACAGAATAATCTTGTAGACGCCTGGGGAAGGAAGCCGTGTAGCAGCAGGCAACCAAAAGGGGGCGTCTGTATTGATTGTGGAGGACACTAAAGCAAGGAACTAGAGGTGCCGATTTCCTTAAATTTGCGTTTTGCCGACTTTTTTGTGTGACATCGATCTCACCTACCTCCACAAAGATCTGAAAGTAAGCTGCTCTGAGCGAGGGCTAACTGACAGGTCCTCCCACCAGGTCGTGTGCGACTGTGTGTGTTTACCGTTTACTCTGGAATATTAAGAAGAAAAACTAGTCATGAGGAGCAGAGAGAGAACCAGTGATTAAAGGCACATTTCTAAAACTAATATGTTGAACAGAAGAGTTAGCTCCAGTAGTGGGAGCAGGGGTCAAAAGTTGGAACTAAAGCTTATGCTAAAAGACCTGGTTCTAGAGATCTGGGGCACACTTTCATAGCAGGAATTAGTACTACAGCCTACGGGCAGAAACAGTGGATAATAAAGGCACATTTCCACCAAGTTCATTTAGTAATTGTATTCCTTTTTTTATAACAAAAAGAGCATGTGTTTCTACTAGAAAACAATGTGCATTTAAGGTGTACGACATTTTAAGGAAGTATCCAGCAGTTAATAAAGTACCATGTGCAGTACGCTTTTTTTGTATGTTGAAAATGATTGGCAATTTCATCATACTTTATTGACAAGTAGATGGTGAAAAGTGAAATAGAAATTTGTTTTTCCTCACAAATCGCAGGACATCTTTGTCCTGGTTGATTTACTAACTGCAGCGGGTAATCCACGAACTTTGTGCGTTAAAAAGGGGAGAGTGAGTGCCTGAGTCCCTGAACACCTCATGTTAGCAGTAAAATTTATCTCTGCTGACTGACTTTTCATTGAGCACAAAGGACTGATGGTTGAAACAAAACTCCACACGCAATGCTGTTAAGAAGCTGCGGCATGGAGCACACGAGACAATGAAGGGTTATTATGCCGATTCTTCTGAAAATGAACAGTATAAATCTCAACAATGGTCCCTCCAACTGAAGTCTTCAGTTTGTCAGAGGAACTGAATCAGTCTTTGAGTCCAGAGAGATGGACTGAAATGGTCCACGGGCTTATGAATATGAACAAAAAGAAAAGGGAGCAGCTTTTGTCCACTCAACACAATGTCGCCGACATTTGATTCCTTTGTTCCTGTGAGGACGGATGGTTACTGCGTACGTGTATTATTTCTGTGTTGTTAAACAGAAAATCACAAAAGACAGATTTTGCTAAGTGCAGCAGTTAGGTCTATGGATAGAGAGTTCCTAATTATTGGCACAAAAAGTATTTTTAAACTCTGACCATGAAACAGATAGAGGACATTCAGAGGATTCACCAAACGTCCTAGGAAAGTCAAAGGTTTAATCCTGAGGATTAGGAAAATAATCTGTTAAAAAAAAGATTTGGATGAAATGCACGTTTAATCTTCAAAACAGTGTTTTCACAATTGTTTATATGCAAATATGAAATTACTGAGGCAGAAAATTAACTGCATATTAAGTCATTATGGGAATTATTTTTTTCAAATGTTATAAATGACAAGTATAAATAGTTTGTCCATAATTAATAGTATCTAAGTATTTAAAGAAGAGATGAGCCGAGAAGTGAGAATGTTCAAATAATCTGTTTCTGCATTGAGTACATTTTACAAACCACATTGGTAGTGATAAAAAATTTCATTACTAACTAAATTTCAGCAGAACCGCAGTCCTCTGTAACGTCCTGATGTTAGCCTGTGGGGTGGAGGTGGTGGTTGTTGTTGTGTTCATTCTTTAAATATGTGAGTCAAGTGAAGGTGGAAGGACAGAGGGAAGGAAAGTTGGCCCAACATTATTCAGACCTTCCTGCATTACAGATTAGCCTGTCTTGGGTTGAATAAATGTGTTGCCCTCTCAACAAACCTGTTTATGAAGTGACAAAGGGAGAAGGGAGTAGAATGTTAATGGTGGCAACAGACAGGAAGTTAGACAGAATGTTCCCAAGTGCGCTTTGCATTTGACTTTAGCTTGTCTTTGATGAAATAAATGTGTTTGGTTTTTTTTTCTTAACGAACGTGTTTAGAGATAAAAAAGAGAGAAAAGACCCCTGAGTGATTAAAAAATCTGGGACTTGTCAAAAAAAAAATAAACAACTTAAAAAACTTACAAACAAAATTGATATTAATCCAGTTCTTTGCACAGCAGGATTAAGGCACAGCAAAAACCAGCACTGAATAAGATGTCGAACAACTCTAGGCCTGATGCTAGGCTGGTGAAATATTTATGTAGATCAGCGCTTGTCATTAAATATAAATGTATGCAACATCAGAAAAGAGCTGAGTCCTTCCAAATAAAAACACAGAGACAACACTTTATACAATGCTAAACATTTATAACATTATCTCTGAAATAAGGCCAGAAATCCCTCTCAGTAGCTCTCATTACATTTTCTAGGAAATTTTCACAACGTGAGCCATATTCCAGAAACCTGATTGTTCTTGTTTACATCTTCGGCTTGTGGTTACATGTTGTTGATAGAATTGTGAAAATTAGGCCTTGAGAGTTTGGAAAAACAGACCATTCAGTCCCCAACATCCCAGCATGCCCTCTCATGGCCTTGTGAGATGTCTAACATGGCTGAAATTTTTTTGTAATTTTTAATTGGTCTTGACTCTTTGGCCGAGAGTCTTTCTATGACCAGAGGAAGATATGTAATTATTTTTACTCTTTTTTACTTCTTTGCAAATTGGGCATTTCTTTGTCTGCAGTGTGATTATTCTTTCATTGTGGTCATGCGTTGTCAAGGCTGGAAACAGCAACCCAGAGATGTAGTCTGTGTAGTCAAATTTTAGTTGAAAAAGAAACTTGCTTGTAGAATATAGCTACATTTACCTCTTAACCACCGTTCTTATTTATTCACTGGAAACGTGGAAACCTTATTATACTGTGTTCGTTTTCTAAAAAGATAAAAACCACATTCTATCTCTTCTTATTCTGCTACTCCCAGAGGACTGCATTGCTATGAGATTACCAATTTTCTTCCTGCGGTTTCAGTTTCAAAGTAAAATTATGCTTTTAAAAATCACTGTTGTTATTTCTGCTTCTAAAATATGAACATGCAGCTTCTCAATTAGCAGGAACAACATGTTTTTCACCACCCTGATTTAGCAGGACTGCTGACATTTCCCTTTTTACCCAAAACGGCAACTTTTTGTGACAAAAAAAAACATAATGAAAGTGTCATGGTGAGGGAGTTAAATTGTCTCCTGCAGCTTCTCACATTAACACTTGTGGCGCAGTAGTGAGAATAACAATGCAACAAAGACTGTCAGCGCTAATGAAAAAGAGCCACTAATGGTCACGCTACCATCCTAAATCCTAAATGTGTTACTTTGACTTTCTGAACCTAATAGGGTGTCTCTGAATTGTGCGGCTCATTTTGTGTTGGCCGACTTCCCTCTAAAAATACCTTCCTACATTTGAGTTGTCTTTTTAGCTGTTTTTTACCTGATTCAAAAAAAAAAAGTAATTTTCAAAAACTACAAGCCAAACATTAGCAAAGTTACTCTTTTGGCTAATTTCTTGACCTTTGTTTTTGCTAACCTAGTTAGTTAGCTATATTACCTTAGCTACACGTAATATCTTTAACCTACTTTCAAGATCACTTTTATATCTTTTGTTCGGTTACATATACTTTTTTTTACTTAATGTCCGTTGCTCACTAAGTTATTTTTTCCTGCTGTTTTCCGAAAACCTTTAGCTATTTCTGATTTCATGTTTCCGAGTTACCTGTGTGCTCAAATTTAGCTATTGTAACTAAGCTGCAGGTGTTTTGACTATCCTGTAGCTACCAAATTATAACCCTTGTATAGCAATTTATACTAGTGCTACA